GCGTTCCTTTTCATAAGCTATTTTACACAAGTATTACTCATAATCTCAACACATGTTTACAAAGATGAGGAAAGTATAGTGATTGTTTCTGCTATCGTAACTGCTAGCAGATTCATAGTTAATTAATCCATAAAAGGTATTACTCATACTATCAAGATATCATTTCTAGCATGTGAGCATAATCTACTGCCCAGTGGCAAGGCAGCGGGTTCTGGCTTCTGGGTTTCACATTTTTCATTATAATTCTACTTTTGCACATTTATATCCAATTCGACCTCATCTTTGGCAACATGTCAAATCCTTTCATTTGCATTATCCTACACAAGTATGAACTAAAGTGCTATACTCAATTTGAGATCATCTACTACATCAGTACTTTGAAAAACGATGGATTCAAGCCTGCCTACCAACTAACACCACCTAACTAAGCAATGTACAATCGACAAAAAAGTAACGAGCAATTAGATTCACATTCATACCTTGTGGAGCATCGGTTTCGAAATACCGATAATTGAAATGCAAAGTAGGCGCAAACGGGTTCTTCGGATGCAAAACCTGAAAGCAATCCAAAACCAAAATGCAACCCCACATATTACACACACAAAATAAGAAAACCCAACATTTCTTTGTTCACAAACAGAGCAGAACTCACGAAATTACCGAGCTAATTCCGGCGGCGAAGAAGGGAACCGGGCCAGGCTTGTGATCAGCTGCGGCGGCGCCCTTGGCAGCTCGGTAGGCCTCGGGAGGCATAACGCCGTACACAACAGAGACATTGACACCAGCCTTCTCCCAAACGGCGCCGTCCTGGAGAACCCTGCTGATGCCTCCGCCGCCGCCGGGTCTCGACCACACGTCCTCTTTAAACGTGGCACCGCCGTCAGCGGCCTCAATGGCGGCGCAGACGGTGTCCTGGGCGTCTCTTATCATTTTCTCGAACCGGCCCCGGACGGAGGACGAGGAGGAGTTCTCGCGGAGGAAGGTGGCGGGGCGGTGGGCCTCGGGAGTCTCTTTCTCGATGACGGCGCATCGGACGGCGGAGGAGGGGGCGGAGTGGAGTGAGTGGCGACGGGGGTTAATGGCGAAAGAGTGTTTTCTGGCGGAGAAAGGCGGGAGCTTTGGTTTTGGGGAAGGAGGTGGGGAGAGGAGAGTGAAGGAGGAGGAAGCTGAGAGCGCCGCCGGCGGTGGCATTGTGGGTGTTTGGAAACGACTTTTGGATCGGATTTTCTAAAGGCTGTGCGTTTCTGGCATTGGAAATTGAGAGGGAGGGATATGCATTGGGTGGGATAAGGCGGGTCAGTCAAAACCAAATCCAGATACGATCAGATACTATTTGTTCAGTGCCCATTGGATTAGATTATCCAGTATTACTGTGGGAGTTTGGTCTTTTACTGTTGGCTATTTAATTCAATGTTTGGAGTGTAGGTGAAAATTGAGCTCCATCATCAAAGGAAAATGGTAGTAAATTTGCTATGCAATATTTATGTAATTTGTTAAATGTCGAATTTTGTATCGATAATGTATTAATTATGTGCCAATGGTATATCAATAATATGTCACTATATCTTAACATCATGCGACAATATCTTAACATCATGTGACAAACTTGTTAACTGTTCATCAACAACATGTTCACAAAATTGCTCTATGTCTCCAATTGTATGTATGAGCAACACAAACGATGAAAGAGAGAGCTTGTCCAAAATAAAATTGAAATATTTACAGAAATTCGTGTTTATTTTATTTTTGAAAAAGTAAGGCTCAACTTTTTAAGATTTTTATAACTTCGTTTTTACAATCAAAATCGTTCACATTATAAATTATTCTGTAATAATCATATTCGTAATTCTTTTACCATATCCATCTATATGTTTTTATATAGTTTGTTAACTAAACGATTTCGTATTTTGTTGATTTTTTGGGTAAATGATCTTTACAGGGTAATACTATGATGATTTTGATCATAAGCACAAAATTCTTCGACTCGATCCTTAAGTATCTTTAGAGGAACTCCTTAATTTTAAAGAAACAAGTTAATTCCTTTTGTATGTATATATTTACACTAGGATAACTACCAATTTGCCAACCATAAAATGGGTCAACAGAACAATCATCGAACTCACAATACCAAAAGTTGAATTTAAGAGGAGGCAAACTTAAGACTCTCATTGACAAGTTGAACTTACTAAAGACAAAAATATAGGGAAGCCATGTTTTAGACCATATTTTGTAAATTATATAATGTCGCGGCTGATTGTTGGATACATTTTTTAATAATTTAACCGAAGAATCCAATCATCAAATATCACATCATATGGTCTACAAAATATAATTCAAATAAATGATCCATCTAGAATCACCTCTTACTCACTATTCAGATTTCAAAAATCTAAAAATAAAAAACAAAAATTAAACGAAATAATTATCTCCGTAAATCCCTATTCGATAAACTAATGGTAGCATCGGCGGCGGATCCCATCAGGGTTCAAAGCCTGGCCCAAGCCGGTCTGACTAGAAGCTAAGGAAATGGGCTGATTATTGTTGCTGAGGAAGAAAGGATAGGGAGAACTAAACAAGAAGTCTCTCACAAATTTTCTTTATATTATTAAAGACATTTTTTATATTATAAGGACAAAAAATAAAAATGGAGTCACATGTCATGAGAGTTTTGAATTAAAATAACATGTCTTTAATAATAGAGAAAGTGTTCTTAATAATAAAAAAGATGTCCTTAACCTTAACGATAAAGAAAGCTGTCTAAGAGTTTTTAAATAAAAATAGTTGCTATTTATTAATTTTCTGTTTTTATTATGCAGTGTCAAGTTTTCTTGATCAACGCTTTTTTTTGTTTGACTTTCTGTGAGTCTAGTCAAAGATTTGAAGGATTTTGTGGGATTAAATTTGGCATCGAGAAGCGCCTTGTAGCGTGCTTTGTTTTATTAAAGAGATGTCAGCCGTTGTCAATTGATGCAGATACCTATTGAATATATGCAGTCCAACTACCATGTCATTGCGGAATTATCATTCGCTGAATGTCATTTTTAATAGATAAGAACATTGCTTGAATCCCAGGAGACTCAACGACAGTGGGATGAATGCATTGCATGGTATTCTTTTTGCTTTTAGGTTTCTCAAATGATGCTGAAGTTAATCAGGTGGTACTGGTCGCAATATGTTATGTTATGTTATGTGTAGGAATATTAACTTTTTCACCAAGGTAGTTGTGCTTATCTGTCGGTCTTGGCCAGTCGTCTGATCGTTTAGTTTTCTGTTTACTTGACATATTGGTTTAGGGCATGTTGTTTAAGTAGGGAATTAATAATTCGTTTGTGGGTGACTTGAAGACAAACTGACCTAGGAACCTCATTTTGTTTTCTTTGGCTTAGTTTTTGTTCATTCCGAATCAAGTGGGATGAGTGATTAGACACTAAACATTGGTTGATATGGTTCTAAGTTGTCTGGACGCGTAGTTAACCAAATTAAGAAGTCACACTCTGTGCATGCACTTTTAGTTGCAGTTGGGCCTAACACGCTAAAAACGGACATAATGCTTAATCTGTCAATATATGAGAAGTCACACTGTGGATCATACGCCTGCTTTTACAGTTTGAGCAAAGGGTTAAGCCATATTTTCCTAAACAACTTTGTCTTCGATCGAGCTGCTAAATGTATGATGTCACGGACAACCACTATTTCTGGATATTGGCATTACATCAATCCTCAGTTGTACTTGTTTTTCTGATCTCTTTTCGTTGTTCTTATGTGTTTTGTTTTGGAATATATTAAGCTTGGGTCCCAAGGAACACAATGAAGCTTGGTCATTGTCCTTTCTGGTTTGTCTTAATAATTGGCTTTAACTGAGATTACAAAGAACTGTGACATTGGGAGGAAGCTGCAATATTTAATTCAGCCACTATGAAACTCGCTTTCACTGCTGGGTTTGGCTTTGGATCAATACTCAAAGGACCGATTTAGGTTGGTCCGGGTTTTGTGTAACTAAGAATGCCGTTCTTAGGGTTAGTTTGAGTTCCGCTTCTCTGTAAGCTGACATCCGAATCGCCAACATGAACTTACGTAGGATTCTTGTCAATTTGAAGTGTATTTCTTGCATTAGGAGTTTTTTTTTTTCTTCTGGAATTGAATGAACCAGTCGAGCAAGGATATCAGTTCTGTATATTCTCTAACAGTTGATTATCTTGCCTGAATGACCAATGGAAAGTACATAAGTGCCGTTCATAGGGCATCGATATTTCGTTTTCCTTTGGGGCCTTTCGTATACCATGACAAAACATAGTCTCCACCTTTGCATTCTTGAGGTATAATGCAAACAGTGGCCTCGAAGATTGGTTATTCTCACCACTAGTGACAGGATATATCTACAACCTCGAGTCGGAATGATTTCCTTGTGGCACCTAACTATCAGCTGCCATGAGTTTGGATTTACGTAGAAATTTACAAATCGCACACCAACTAGAACTGCTAGTAGTGAGACTCGAACTTTGGTGGGACGACACATAAGGCAGAGACCGTACCAACTAAGCTAACCCTCGTTGGCAAGAGTGGCCTCTATTTAGGAACCAAAATAATTTGAGCTTTTACATGAGAGGTATTAACGCATATGATTGTATACAACTGGTAATTCGCCTAAGGGTTCTTGGTTTATACATCTTGGGACGGCAATTGTTTAAATAAATATTTATTTGCAATATTGGGTAATCTAATTTACAATGGGTTGTGAAACATGTTTTGGATTTGCAATTATTGAAAGCGTCAAAAATCAACGCACGATACGACTAAAATATCCCCAAAACAAATAATTAAACAAAAATATTTGAAAGAATTTGACACAAGTAAAGAAAAAGAATCTATCACAATTAGAAACCCTAAAAAATGAAGAAAAAATCTTCAACTAAAATCCACACTATCAATAATCATCACGATTAGCAAATAAATTAAAATTAATTAATAAAAAATTTTGCCGTCCGAGAAAAAAACAAAATTTTAAAAATATTTAATTTTTTTTAACAGTGTCTCCCCAACCTTCTCCTCCTTGTTCTGTTCCGTTTATCCCTTTCCGTCTCTGACGCAGAGAGACCGAGCTCCCATTGGCGCCTTTTAACCCCTCGGATTCGTCCAGACAAACGCCGAATTCCAATCCCATCGGGTTCCAGTCCAATCCAATCCGACCCACAGTGAAAAATCCAGATGAAGCGCTACAGGAACGGAGAAATCTGGGACTTCGAGCACCAAATGCCGGTGGCCGCCGGCGCTGGCGGTGTTATATTGGGTTTGGACGGCGGAACCACCTCCACCGTCTGCATTTGCATGCCGATTTTGCCCTTCTCCGACCCTTTCCCCGACCCGGTTCCCGTCCTCGCTCGAGCTGTCGCTGGCTGCACCAACCACAACAGCGTTGGCGGTAATTGTTCTTCATTTCTTGGGGTTTTCAATTGATTTTTAGTGTTTTGAAGTTTTGATGGTGGTTTTTTACCCAATTGGAATCACTTTTTGGTGAAATTGTAGAGGCCGCTGCGAGGGAAACATTGGAGCAGGTGATGGCGGAAGCGTTGGCCAATTCTGGTTCGAACCGATCGGTGGTTCGGGCTGTTTGTTTGGCGATTTCCGGTGTCAACCACCCCACTGATCAGCAGAGGATATTGGATTGGCTGAGGTAACACTTTCCAGTCTATAACATTTCCTACATTGTTCCCATTTGTGTGCTTTCCAATTGGTTTCTTCATCGGACCCTTTTGGCCCTTTCAGGTTTTTGACACATATCAATGTCGAATTAATGTTGTTTGGTACTAAGGGTTTGATTTTTCTTGGTGTGAACAGGGATATATTTCCCAGCCATGTGAGGTTGTATGTTCAGAATGATGCTGTTGCTGCTCTAGCTTGTGGGACTTTGGGGAAGCTTCATGGGTGTGTTCTAATTGCTGGCACGGGGACCATTGCGTACGGGTTCACAGAAGACGGTAGAGAAGCTCGGGCAGCCGGTGCAGGTCCTACCTTAGGTGATTGGGGAAGGTATAACCTTGTTGCTTTGTTCTTATTTCTTCTCTATCTCATTCTCTCCCTCAGGATGCTCCTAATTTATAAAAATTATAGGGGATAGCATGGTTAATGCTTTATCCACTTTATAGAGGATACCTTGTTGCTTGAACCATCCTAACCGTGAAGCATATAGAAATATACAAGGGTCGTGAGAAGAAAGCAATTAATGGGGAAGTTAAAGCGGGAACCTTTTGGTCCTTATCTGACTTTTTGATCATATTCGGACTTAATGCTTAGTTTGAACTGTCATATAGCTCTTTCCGTATTTCATTTTTCATCTTTCCCTTTCCTGCTCATCATTTTGTTATCATTATGCTCATCCTATTATGTTTATTATATGTTGTCATGGCCGTATGTAAATCAGGCAGATATGCTAAATACACTTATCAGTTTTAACCAGAATTTCTATAGTTGATAGCAATTAGGATGTGATCAATAAGGATAAAGGTGTCTTGTTCTCCACACCCTTTCTCTTTCCAGCAGTTTTATTGAAGGTAATATTTTGTTACTTGTAGTGGATACGGTATAGCTGCACAGGCATTAACCGCTGTGGTAAGGGCCAACGATGGTCGTGGTCCAGATACAAAGCTTACATCTAGTATTTTAGAGGAGCTTGGTCTTTCTTCTCCAGATGAACTCATCGGGTATCTATCTGAAACTTATAAATGTCAGCATCACATACATGGGTGAAGTTACTAGTTGTCATTTTCAGATCTTACTGTCCTGCAGCAAAACTTTTACGCAGTTTTGGCGAAAATAGACGGCAAGGTTTGTTCCATACCTTGAATGGTCCTGGTTATGTGATGCAAATATGTGAGACGGTTTCCACTCATTGTAGCTAAAATCTCGTCTAAATGTATATGATAAAAGTTTTCCAGTTCCGTTGAAGTACAATCATTTCATATTTTGAGACTGATCTTGTTAGATAACAATGCTTACACCCCTAAATGTTTGGATACCATGGCCAATCACTGCCTTAAAATCATTTTAAAAAATTGGACAGTCTCTTGAAAATGCAATTATGTGTATTTTTTGTTTGCACTTGTCATGCATACTTGATAGAAATACATTTATTTAAAAGGAATTTTGGTGTTTTATGTATGTCTCTGCAAACCTTCTTGAGAAAAATGAATTGAGAAGTCAGTCATACATCTGAAACGTAAAATACAATATATGTTGATACAAATGAGTACCAGGGGTTTGATTGTATGGGGTATCAGATAACAACTATAATTTTCTATTGGATTTTAGGTGGACGTATGCAGACCCATCATGGGCTCGCATTGCAGCACTTGTTCCAGTTGTTGTTTCTTGTGCAGAGGCTGGTGATGAAGTTGCGAATAAGATTCTGTTTGATTCAGTCCAGGAGTTAGGGCTGAGTGTGAAAGCTGTTGTTCAAAGACTTGGCTTGTGTGGTCCAGGTGTGACATACTGAACAAATAACTTCAAATTTTTATAGGAAAACCTTTCTTGGCAGCTGACCCCACTTAGTGGGATAGGCTTGGTTGTTGTTTGAAAATCTTTCTTGGATTTCTTTGATGCATAATAAGCCATGACTCGTGAGGTTAAGCATGACCTCAAAGAACATTAATCATTTAGTGGTAGGGTAGTGATACTATTTAAATACCCCGTTGCAGAAAAGAAAAGGATTAATACAGTGCATACTGGGAGCAAAACATTTTTTTCCCATGGCCTCTATGATTATTGAGTGTGTAGGGCCTTGATTCGATTCACTTTATGGGTTTAACTGTCATTATAGTTGATTGACACCTATAGGTGTTATGTTCCCTCTCTCTTGTGCTCTATTGCATCCCAGTAGCAGTGGTATGGCTTATTGAAAGTACGCCTAGTCGACCTTCCATCTTAACATGCAATGTTTTTTTCTGAAGTATGATGGTGTGGCAGCTGTATGGTCATGTCTTTCTGTCCTATTTAATTTTTAAGTTTAATGCCTTTGTTCTATGCCCATTCCTTGTGCATATGGGGTTTTATTATTGCAGAGTTCATGAGGGATATTCTTTATACATATCAGACTCAAGGAGTTTATGTATTTGCAAGTAATAATTGATTGGTAGGCAGTCCCTACCGTGCATGCTAATTTCATTTTTTTTGTATTAAAATTGAATGCAGAGGGAAAAGATTCTTTTCCGCTCGTCATGGTTGGTGGTGTTCTTGAAGCAAACAAAAGGTGGGATATAGGAACGGAAGTCATCAAATGCATCTCCAAGGGCTACCCAGGGGCAGTTCCAATTAGGCCTAAGGTAAACACATCTTGTGCCTTACTTCAATCAACTTTTTACATTTTCAGCAAATAAGGTTTAAATGGTGAGCCAACTACTATCGGTTGATGGCTTCTTGAGTAGTCCCCAGTGTCGGGCTTCCTTCTCGCTGAATTCTACGCTTTCCTTTGAATAAAACGTTAAAGCAGCTTCATCAAACTGATAACTAGAGAGTACATGAGAAATCGATAACACACAAGAAGTCTGCGGAAGGAACAACTTTCAGCTAGTAGATGACAATTGTTTCTGTAATACGCATTTTATCTTGTTGAATTTCTAACATTTTACTTACAATTCTGCGGTATTTGTTTTCGTAAATCAACCATCAGGTTGAGCCTGCAGTTGGAGCAGCATTGCTAGCATGGAATTTTTGCATGAAAGAATCTCTGAAGGAAGCCTTCAAGAGGTGACTGTCGTTGTTTTACAGTCTATGAATTGTATAGTCGAAAGGATCACGACGAAGTGAAAGAGAAACAAGCAGATCAAAATTGCAAATGAAATCATCATCAATATTTTTTCGGGGTTAAGAAGTGTTTATCAATTTTTTTATCTGCATAGAATTAGGTTTTTGATGTAAAAGTATCACTGTTAATAGTGAAGTAAAGAAAATGATTGCAAGTGAAGCAAAAGCTCCTCGTGTGTTTTTGTTGTTTGTTCAATTTTTTGTCTCCTAATAGCGGTAGGAACGACTTGTTTGGCGGGCCTTATTTAATTAGAGAGATGATTCAAATGTTATTTTCGAAATATGGTCTTCCTAACATCATGCTTTTATAATACAAATGCAAAGCCTGCTCATCATTGGGTTAGCAGACTCCTTGTTCTGTAATTAAAAGCTGACCACGAACACGAAAACACAATAAAATCTTTAAATTTCCTTAACTATTCGGTTTGAAAATCGCATTCTATACATTCTGATTCGGCAGATAGTGTTTAGGGTTGGTTGAGATTGCTTTTGTACGCTTTTGTTGAAAGTGCTTTTATTAGAAGCATATTGAAATTTTCATTAAAAATGCATGTTTTTCTGAGAGAGTACTTGGCATATGCTTCTTGATTAGGAGAAGGATTCTCTACTCTCTTTTTTCCCCTCCCCTTCCCTCCCCTCATATTTGAATGATCACGGTTAAGCCACGTCAACATTTTATATTAATTTTTTATAGAATGAGAAAGATAAAATAGAGATTGTGAGAGGAAGGAATGGAAAGAGGAGAGAGAATCCTAGTCCTCTTGATTAAGCATCTGACAACACTTGATTAGAAAGTGCTTCTATGACACCTACGTACTTTTAAGTATTTTGCCAAGAAAATTTATTTATAAAACGGAGTGTTTTGATGGTCAAAAAACAATTTTAGTCATTTCATAAGCAATCTTAAACATGCTCTTACTTAATGATAATATGGATAATAAACAATTTGTTTAACACTTGTCAATAAAACCAAATCTACTCTCTTTTTCGAAGAAAATTGTAGCGACCATGGCATGCATGAATAGTCTAACACAGTGAAGATGTAGAAAGCATGCAAAGGATGCTCAACCTTCCCATATCAGAGCAAGAAAAGCACAAGTTCATTCCTTAACGGCTTCTGATCTTCACACCAAAAATCCCGTCATCGTTTTGGATCATATATCCTCCCTTGGGAGCTATAAATACCCCTCAAACCCTACATACCAAAACCTACATTAACAATTTAAGCTCACGATTAAGGTAACTAAACACTCGAGCACTTCATTAATCGATCTCGAAAATCAAAAGTACGAAAAATGAAGGGCGTCGTTATAGCGGCAGTGGTGGTGGTGCTGGCCATGTTGGTCTTGGTTGAACCGGGGCATGCCACGGTCACTTGCCAACAAGCAATGTCATCTGTGACTCCTTGCCTTCAATATCTTACCAGCGGCTCTGGCACCCCTCCTGTGGCATGTTGCAGTGGTGTTTCGGGTCTGAGACAGCTCACTCAAACCACCGAAGATAGGCGTACAGCCTGCCAATGCCTCATGGACGCAGCGAATCAAAACCAAGACATTAAGGAAGCTGCTGCGGCTGGCCTTCCCGCGGCATGCCGAGTTCAGATCAACGTTCCAATTTCTAGGAGCGTCGACTGCAACAAGTAAGTAATTCATGTGCTGTATTGAAAAATTCTTCCTAACAATTGTTGTATAATCCGCCTGGCCATGTGATTAGGACGTGCTACGTGTTTCGACGCGTGATCATCACGTGCTTGCTACTGCTAATGTTTTTTGGTTTTGTACGAACAGTATTTAGTGAAATGAAGGCTACAGATTGAGTTGAAATAAAGAGAGAGAAGCATGGGGGATGTTGCTGCTATATTCTTCAACGGCTGCATTGGCTAGCTTTTGGTTGAATGTCGTCAAGTTATGGTTCTCACTAGAGAGCCATGCTATGCCTACTAGTTTATTCAACCTACTTGTTATGTACGAGATAACATTGTATTTAATAAAATAAAGAACTCTTAGTTGTCTGTTGGATAACTCACTCTATATTTAGACACATAGCTTTTAAACGAAGAAATTCTCATGTTTTGAAAAAATAGAGTTTAGTTGTTGTTATCGAACTTTAATGATTCAAACCAACTACTTTAAAGACCCTGTATATATATGACCAATATTTAGACTGTCCCATATCACTTGCACATACAAACACTTTACCGATGAAAGTGAATTTAAGCCTGAAAAAATCATCAAATCAATGTATCATGCATTGCATTCCATGTATAATTTTGTTACAACTTGTGACGAACTTGTTTTGGGACACACTGGGAAGTTTTCTTGTTTTCCCTAACATTGGCAAGTAGTGGAAAACGGTCCACATACTTTAAAAGCCTAAATTGTGATTCATTGTTTTGAGATATGGATTCAAGTAAGAAGTAGCTAGAGAGCATGCAATGCGCTCCCAAAATCGCACCAATTGAAGACATCCGCCATTTTTTTTTTTGGTTGAAAGAACAATTCATAGAAACAGAAGGGCAGCAGACCAAACAACAAACAGAGAGCTTCCCGGAAAGCCTAGGGAGCAAAGACGAAGATAAACAGGACCATTACCAACTATAAATACACCTCAAACCGACCTGCCAAAACCACAACTAGACGCTCCCGTACATTAACAATTGAAGCTCAGGATTAGGGTCAACACTAGAGTACTTAAGACCATTTCCAAAGATGTTAAATCCTAAGTGAAATGTCATGTAATCAAATTTGAAGGTAAGAGCAAACTTTAACCGATATGTCAATCCTATGTGGATTGACATATGAGACAATCTCCAAATGAGATGTCAAATTTTAAACCTAAAATTTAAATTTGGAGGTATACGTGGCATTTTGGCATCTTTTAAACTTTTGCTCTCCAACGATATGTCAAATTTTAAATATAAAATAATAATTCATATGTATTTTCTTTGCATTGGGAATGAAAAGAAACAAAAGGATAATACTTTAAACCAATAAAAAATTAATGAAAAGCATTTAATAATTAATTAATTTTTTTTTGAAGGTGCTGTCAAATTTGGCAAGAGAGAGAGATGTCAATCCATGTCATGTCACATCAGATTTGGCTTCTCGGTTGGAAAACATTAATACTGTTTTTTGTTACCGTTATTGTTGATTTGGACATTTTGACATATTTTTTGGAGATGCTCTGAGAAAATGTGATGTCAAATCATTTTTAATTATTTATTGTGTGGGTCCCATTAATGCACCAATGATAAATCTTTGAAATTTATTTTAATTGATTTCTTTTTAAAATAGGTCATACAATTATCATTTATAACCAAAAAAAAAAAAAACATATCAATTGGAAGTAGAGAAAATCTGATATTGCCACGTCAACCATTAAATTAACATTTGACATTTATCTTTTGACATCTTCTTTGGAAATGCTCTTAATCGATCTCAAAAACCCTAAAAAATGAAGGGTGTTGCTATAGCGGTGGTGGTGGTGGCGCTGGTCATGTTGGCCTTGGTCGAACTCGGGAAAGCCAAGGTCCTTTGCGTGGAAGCAGTGACTGTAAGTTCATGCATTCCATATTTCACCCATGGCACAAGTAGCCCGCCTGGTAGAATGTTGCCATGGTGTGAAAGATCTTACATGGCTGACTCAAACTACATACAAAAGCATGAAGCTTGCGAGTGCATCAAGGAAATGGTAATTCGCTACTCAAACATTAAGGAAGAACTCGCGATTGACTGCGTTCTGTAAATTGTAATGTCCCACTCGTTTTTCATTTCTAAGAATGGTAATTGCAACGAGTGAGTAATTAGCTTTTGCATTGTATTAACAACTCCCCCCCTCCCACCCAAATATAAAATTGTATGATCATGTAATTAATGCGTCATAAACGTTTAATTATGTAATCAACGCGTGATGTGTCATTTATGACGGCAGCTGTAAGGAAGATAATTTTTTATTATGTTGGTACTGCTGGTTTTTTTATTGCTAAACTTTTTTGGGGGGGGGGGTGTTGCACATTGTTAATTTGAAACCAAGGCCACAGATTGAGTTAAAATAAGGGAGTTTTAACGAAAAGTCCGCGATACTGTTCACTTTAATGAAAAACCATATTTTTACACTAAAAAATCAAACCTGGTACTATTTATTTTACCCTTTATTTTGTCCTTATCGTTAAAACTTAAAGTTTTCAATGCTCTTTTAATTAATTTTCCTTTAAAATAAAGCAAAAAGCATGGGGGATCAATGCTTCTATATTCTCAAATGGCCACACATAGCTTTTGTTGAATATGGTCAAGATATGGTTCTCACGGGAGAGCCATGCTATACTGAGTTTATTCCAAGCTACTTGTTAATAAAATAATTTTCTTTTAAATATCTGTTGCAGATCTCTCTTAGAATCATATTATATTGTAGTACATAAGGCAGTGTCAAATCTCTTATAATTTAAGAGAAATTCTTTAGGGTATAGGTATCGTTGAACTTGCACACAGTGAGAAAAGCCTACCTACACTTAAGTGATAAACTCTCATTATACACGTATTCCTTGCAAAAGACTTAACTTCCTAAACAATTTTTACGACTAAAACGTAATTTTCACACAAAAAATGAGCTTAACCAAAGATCACGTTGAAGCGATATGTACCAAAACAAGGACATATAATTTGGTAGCAAAATACAAGAAGTCTTTCAAACATTAACTTGTGGCAGCTAGGATTGAATTGACAACTAAGGTTTCAAGTACCTGACAGATGACACATTGAACTATTACCAGCAACCATCACAACCATTTTTATTATTTCAGAACACCTTTTTAAAGGAAATTGCCTCTTGTGGGCACACAAGGAGAAGTTATATTAATTTATAAGCATTTAAACTCAATCCAAGCACAAATTAAGCCCTCCCTAACCAATATTTATAGAAGTTGGATCAATGCTTTTGTGGAGAAAACAATAGGAGATAAGTGGCCTCCCTATAAATGTAATCCCATTTATTAAATTCATATGGACAACCAAATGATAACCTAATCATTTTTCTCCCCCAATAATTTTTTTCTTCCAAAAAGTTAACATGAAAAAGACTGGCTATTTCCAAATGAGGCAAAAAGAGAAAGAATTGTTTGGAATTGGGCAAGATGGGTATTCACTTGTGTCACTAGATGATTAAGGATTTGCTGTTTATTATTTTATAGGATTATTAGATCTATTGTAATGTCTTATTTTTTCATTACATTATAATATCATCGGTTAAAAAAAGTTAAAAAATTAAGATAATAT